TGGTTTTCATACTGAACAATTTAACTCTGTATACGATTCATTTAGGTACATCATAAGCAGACTGTTCATTTAGGTACACCGTAAGCAGACTGCTCATTTAGGTACACCATAAGCAGACTGCTCATTTACCTATACTAAAAGCTGACTGCACATTTAGGTATACCATAAGCTGACTGCTCATTTTGGTATACCATAAACAGACTGCCTTGCTACCTGTTACCTGAGCTAAGAATCTATTTACCAAAATGCAGACAGATTAGTATAATTTATGGGTCATTAGCCTGTTGCTCGAGAACGAGCACAGGCAGCACAGCAGTAAAGAGGCTGAGAGCATGAGAGCAGCTGGCGGTACCCTGGTGTTACAGTGTCGAGCCACACCATATGTATTTACCGGAGTCCTGGTAGAAAATCCCCTTAAACAGCACAGCGTAGGTCAGGTTCCCATTGGGCCTGGCCGGGCCCGTCCACCTGGCTCTCGCCAACCGCGGCCCCTCTGCATGGATCTCCAGGGCCACGGGGCCAACGGGGGCCGCCTCCAGTGTGCGCATCTCCACCTGGCAAAGACGACAAGGGCTTCACACTCAGCCGAAGGCACTTGCTTTTTCTGTGACCATAAGGCCCTGAAGGTGTCTATGTCTGACCAGCAGGGCCACTTTAATATACGGGCTTACCCAGGCTCAAGCCCAGGGGCTTCTACAAAGACGGGCCCTCAACTAACCTCGATAAATGAAACGTAACCCCTCTCCTGGCCAACAACTATTACCATTATAGAAAACAATAGGGGGGTCTCTGACAACTCAAATAGCCCAGGGGCCACTAACCATGATAACATGCTGACCATGATACACAGAGCAGCCCAGCAGCTTCCGTAATGTTGTTCTTCCAAGGCCCCAAGTCAACACTTTTACTCTCAATGTAGCAAGACGTCCATACAATAAAAACATTAAGCACGTAGCTGGAATAACGCAGACATTAGCGGTAAAGCGTGGACATGTCAAAACCGCTAATCACATACAGCTATTATTATCCAGTCAGCAAACTGAAAACAACCCAAGAGCTTCACACATTTTTAAAAGTTTAGTTGTGCTAATATAATTCATTACACACACGGGCTCAGCTGACCTTTCACAGCATGTCCATCACTGTGAAAATTAGCTATTCAGAAAGGGAAATTATTATAAATTCAGAAAAAATAGATCTGAGAAATAAATTGTATATGATCAATTTGTATGAGAAGTATATAGTTAAGGACGATGAATCTATTTTATTTGAATATGAATAATGGGCATTGTGCTTTTCACATTGGTATATGCTGACGAGGAAAAAAAAAAATGATTTTAACAAAAACATATTCATAATATTCCCCAAAACGATAGCATACGCACTTTTCGACGTTGCTTTTCTCCTGCCATCTGCCAAAAGTGGGAAACAGTTTTTTTTTTGGTCAGCTTGTCAACTCGGAGCAGCTGAACCCCAGCGTCCGGGACCCTCCTGTCCGGCCCGACTTCTGCTGCGTCTGCAGGTCGCGAAAACCCCGCCCCCACCGCGCTTTTCCACTAAATATTGCGCACATATTGGAAAAGTGCCCAGATGTGGCCCATCAAAGCCGTAACCAGCCCTGAGTGGCATTTATACCAAATGTCAAGCACGAGCAGAAGGGGCTCTATTGAACGGAGCGAATCGATCAGCTTTATGATGTTGGCTGCCATCTGACACCGGGGCCATTAGCATAATGCAAATGCGCCGCCACCACTGCCGCTCACCGGGGGCCCCAAGGCGCAGCCTTCAGCGGTGCAGGCCTGCACGCGGAAGCTGTGCAGGTTCCAGGCGGACAGGTTCCCCACCCAGAAGTGCTGGGACAGCGAGTCCTGCACCAGCAGTCCGTCCATCCACAGCCTGTAGCCGGTGATCACACCTGCGTGGTGACATGGACAAACACAGACATAAGTAGAGTCACAGACACACATGCATACACACAGACATAAGTAGAGTCACACAGACACACATGCATACACACAGACATAAGTAGAGTCACAGACACACATGCATACACACAGACATAAGTAGAGTCACACAGACACACATGCATACACACAGACATAAGTAGAGTCACAGACACACATGCATACACACAGACATAAGCTGACGCACACAAACACACACACAGACAAAGTAGATGCAGACACGAACACGTAAACATATGAAGATGCACACAGACAAACAAGGCCACACACAGACATAAGCAGATGCACACAGATACACACAGAGAGACATAAAAACATACATATATATGTATGTTGTATATGATGCATGTGGTAATCATGTTTTATGAGATGCTGAATGGAGTACTACTTTGCTAATTTGTCCAGGGGCTTCTACAAAGATGGGTCAGGAATCCCGAAATTATGCAGGCGCAGAAGTGAGTGCAGGATTCACCACGGGAAACTACAATGGAGGCGATGAAAAGCATTTTGTGACACGGAGAGAGTTTTCCAGCGACGGTGCTGAACTGTCATCTGGACAAAGTTGTAACTTCAGTATGCCCCTCCCCTCAGCCCCCCCACATAGGAACAGTGAAGCTGAAAGTGAAAGGAAGGGATCAGGAGGTATAGCAGAGAGAATAACAGCTAAGCACCCCCCTTGCTAACTGCACAGAAGAAGCTCTTAAATTCGTAATCAGAAAAAAAAAAAGGAGAGAGAACAAGTGAGGCAGTCGCTGCACGCCGGCCTGACTGCGGACAGACGCCAGGTGGCGGAGCAGGCAGCACGACATCAGGCCGCCGTGTAAAAGCGTGCCATCGGCAGGGCTATCTGCCCGCGCTCGGGCATTTAGGTAAGACGGACCGAGGGGTGGGGGGGGTTTGGTTATAGCACATGACTGAAGAGAAAAAACAATTTGAGGTACAAAAACAGCTGTGGAGACAGCCACGCTCTGTCCATGCGCAAACACAAGAAGGTATGAGAAAAACGAACCGTCAAACTACTGTAAGATTATACTACTCTCACTGAGAATGCGATGGGAATTTATACTACAAAAAACTACAAAAAATGAGAAAAAGCTACAAATAATACAAGTTAATCACAAGACGCAGTTACTGCATGCTGTTTTTAGTTTTTGCTGTAAATGTTTAAATATCCTCCATGATAGCACTGGAAATAACAATGCCAAGGGGTGTAGAGGGTCTGCACGATAACTAGCTAACAGAGATCATCAGTGAAAGTGACGCATGCACCAGTAAGGAGCCAAAAAGATGAAGGCAAGGTGCTCCCCACCCAAGCTACAAGCATGTAAACACATGACCGCGGGAGCCGTGATTCATGAAGTATGTGTAGCGTCTTTACCTGGTGAACAGCAGTAAATTGTCTATGAGGTTTTTAATTTGAGGTGTATACATGTATGCATGATCATCCAAAATTTTTGTATTATTCAGTAAATTAGTAGCAAATTGTACAGTCGTGTGTTTGTTAGCAAGTAAAATAAAAATGTTAAAATGTGTTTTTAATGAAAGACAACAAATAAAAAGAAAAGGGCATAAATTGTCTTCAAAATGTTTTATGGTGGAAATATTACATTTTATATTTCTACTTGTTTAAAATATCTTACTTTGTTTAAAAACTAAAAAACTGTGGTTTTGTTGTGCTGTTAAAATAATATCCAAATAAAATAAAAATAATAGAAATCATGTAAGATTCCAGTAAAATCTGTAACAATTATTAATATATTACACCAATATTTTATTTCACAGACTAACAACTATTGTAAAATAACCCCTGTTCTATAAGGTTTTTTCCAACCCGATTTGTATAAATAAAAAACATAAACTATGATGGAGAGAAAACAGCGGTTTAGCGTGGGGGGGCATATACCATATTATCGTTACTGCCTGGAGGGAGCCCATTTTTGGAGCAAGCCTGAGTGTCCCCTTCCGGATAACACAGCACAGGGAGCAGAGCCCCGCTTTCACGGCCGGCTGTGACGCTCGGCAAACGAAGCCGCAGCCCGCACAGCAGTTGCAGTTCACAGCATCAGTCAAAAGGGAGCACTTTCTATCCACTTTAAGCCACACTCCAACTCGCTCACGTCCCCCCCCCTTACGTGTCTCCATCCTCGCTCGCCGCGCAAAGGGGCTGCTGCCCGCCGTGGTTTTATGTGCTAAACCGCCATTAAAAATGAAGCACCGGTACCCAAGTCGCCATTTAGAATATGAATTGACCTCTCCAGCAACTGGTCTTAACCCCACTCACCGTTGGGCGCCGACGGGAGGGGCCAGGAGACGTTGAAGGAGTCTGGGGAGAGGGACACGACCGAGGGGGCGGGGACATCCTCGGGGGTGCTCTCGTCTGTATGTTGCACGCTGGGAGAGCTCAGAGTGCAGCCACCCCCTGTGCATGCCTATACAAACAGTCATGCATCAGGGGTCAAAGGTCAGAGGTCACCGGGCACTGCCTCCTCCATATTACCTGAACCACATCTATTTCAAGTTAAAACATAAATTCCTAACTAATACATGCAAGTAATTTTTATTTAAATAATTAAAAAAGTACAGGAAAACATAAAGAAAAATATAAATAATATAAAATCAAATATGAAAACCAACAAAAATACTGATTTACTAGCTGTTTTGCTTGTATGCCACTAGAGACAAAGGCATTTCCTAAATAATCTAATTGCAAAACAATACAATTCATGTACTTTTTAAATTATAATGCACCGTTCAATTTATACAGACCTATGCTAATTCTAGGTACAAAATTCATATGGTCAATGTAGAGCAGGACAGATGCTTCAAGTAGAGATCATTTTCATACGTACTGCTATCTGGAAGGTGTAGGTAGTGCCTGGGACAAGGCCATACAGAGTGTGGTCCTCAAAGAGCTCGGAGCTGTTACATGCCACTAGCGGCTCCACTCCCGGTGTCGACACGTAGAGGGCGTAGTACTCCAGCACCCCGTTTGCCTCCGAAGGCGCTGTCCACCTGTGCCAGAGAAGAGAAGCGCAGGTCTGGTGGGTCTCTTTTGTGGCGCGGCACGGACAGAAATAGGAAAGGCTGTTAGGTTACTGTCTCTTCTTGTGAGATGACTTTTCTGGCAGCTATATATAGCACAGAGGACGGCGCTACAGTATCTGCTGCAGGATCCAGGAGAGCCGGGCCAGGTGAGAGGACCATGGGGAGGAAAGAGGAGAGGGGGAACAGAGGAACCGGCAACCAAACACCTCTCTCTGTCCTCTTGGAAAATCACTCGCTTCCTTACTCCGAGCAAAGCATGCACATCGCAGCATTTATGCTTAACGCCGAAAGTTAAAAATGAAATTAAGTGCTTCACTCAAAGGATAATCCACGTAGCTAATGTGCAGTATTTAACCTCTTTTTAAAATATAATGGTCAATGCTAGATAATAGCTAAACTGAATTATCTTCTGAACTACAGGGTAAAGTGCAAGTTAGAGAACCTACTGTATATAATGTAAGGTTAAGAAATGATAATCACATGTATATATACAGGTTTCGGATTTCATTTTACTATTCCTGTGGGGGAATCTTCTTCCAAATAGAAATACATATAACTAAATATTATACAAACATATGACAATATAACAAAGGTGAATATACCAATCTATTACAGAATAAATGATGTATGGATGAATGAGTGTGTGTGTGTGTGTGTACAAAGGCACATTATATTTATTAGATACATAGTAATACTAATAGTTAACTCCTTCATTTAACATTCCTTCTGTATTTAAGATATTTTATAGGTCTTTAATACAATATTCAGTATAAGATTGCTTCTACTGTATATATGCTGTATAAGAAACATGAAGTTGTATTTAAATTCCACTTTGGTGTTATTCCACTTTTCTTGCCCAGTAACAGAATGTAGATGAAATGCTTTACAGCCTAATATCAGTCTAATGTCCTCAGTAAGTTGTCTCCGTAACAGTGTGTAGCACCATTTCTGTAATTTCTCTCCTTGGGGAGGCACATGCCAGAAGAAGCCTGTCTCCGCTAGCAGAGCCTCGGCATGTTTTTGAAGCAGGAAGGTGACAGACAGGCGGCGTGGGGGCACGGACCTGCAGGGCACTTTCGGCAATATCGGCGCGCAAAATCCACCCCCACCGTCCAGGATCCTGCCACCTTACTCACGGGCAAATTGCGGCGCTTCTTTAAGAAAAATCCCATATCGAACCTCTGTGACCTTTCACCTCGTGCTATTATGATTCTGCTAACGAGGCAATACCACATGGACGCCCCCGCTTCCAGAATTAGGCCCTCGCAGGAAAAAGGAGGGGGAGGCAAGAAGGGGAGACATCACCCATAACATCAAAGCACCGCAAGCACAACCCTTGCCGCCTGCCTCTCCCTGTATTTAAATTGAAATATTTGCAGGAAATAAAGCAATAACCGTTTTCTCCCACACCGATGAGAACAATAAATAAGAGGGGCTTGAGAACAGATGCCGGAGTGCTCCGTGAAAAAGGGCACCATTAGGAGATGAAGAAAACATAATGAAGTTATGAAAATCGGTGATGGAACAAATTGGGTCATATACATCTTTTTAATAAATGACTTACAGAGATCACCGGCTTCCATTAATGCGCAGGAGAACAAGGCTGGGGTTTTACCAAGGTGGGCTGGGGGGGTATTATCCTAATCGAATGAAGACTGCATGGAGTGGTTGCTACATTATACAAGATGGCAGAAGACAGTTATAAAGTAAAATGGTGTGTGTGTGTTGGGGGGGGGGGGGTCATTTAAATTACTAGGTTTAATGGTACAAGACCTGCATTGGGGTGGATGTGAAGCAGGTATCGGCACTGATATGAATTCCCCTTGTGTCCCCATGTGCCCTGTCCCCACCGCGAGCGAAGTGCTGACGTACGCGGGGTCCTGTGTCACATGGATGCCCTTCCCCCGCCTCCTGCCTGCAGGGCGCGCTGTCCTCACTGTTCCACCATTGTTCTGAAGTGGCACCGGACAAGTGCTAACGGGAGTGTGTCCCCCATGGCTTTCACATGGACTGTGAAGAGCGCGGACGGGAAGCTGGGTTTGTCTGGACATGTGGGCCAAAGGGGATGGAGGTGGGTGGGGGCAGAGCAGAAGTGGGCGGGGCAAGTGCAGAGGTTTGTGGGGCCAGTGCAGAAGTGGGTGGGGCCAGTGCAGAGGTGGGTGGGGCCAGTGCAGAGGTGGGTGGGACCGAGCCTGGTGAGTGAGGCCAGCTCGGGTGGGTAGGGATTCCTTGCACATGTTGACATGATTCAGAGAAGGTCAGCTGATATGACAGACAAGATAGCTAACAAACTGAAGAGCAAGCCCAGGGACACCATACCAGAATGAAAGTCTGAAATTTCAACCAAAAACTAAGTGGAAGGAAGAAAAATCAACTAACATATAGTGGGATGGGATCCAAGCCCCCCTCACTAGAGGTGTGAGGCTATGCTGCCCCCCGTTGAGCCACCACATACAATATAAAACAACTGCAATAATCAAAGCAGAATAATGAAATAACCAAAACAATACTTTAAGGGAAATACATTTATCCGACACCAGATCGCTGCGGCATGTTTCAGCTCAGTGATAAAAGCGGCTCACTGTAGGGCTTCAGATCCTGCAGACCGACACACCTTCATGCCTTACAGTACAGGTCCGCTAAACGATATGATGAAACGAGTGGTGAAGCTTATGTAGAAAGCTTATCTGGAGGTCCTTTAATAAATCTGACCGTCTTACTATATATCTGCAGATAGCTGCTGAGGATGGCACAGCAGAGGCACCCCCCCGCTGCCGGCTGATGTGACGGCACCCAGAGAGAGCAACGCGCCGCTGCGCAGCCAGAGCAGACCCGGGATTTATGGGAAATGAGGAGAGAGAAACAAGGAGGGTGAATCTCACTGCACGTGGATGCTGCGGGAGTCCAGTGGCGTGAGGAGGGGCGGGTCCATGTGAGCGGGAGGCGTCTGGGCAGTGAACTGGGTGACCGTGGAGCTGTTGGAGCAGCCGGAGGAGGTGCAGGCGGTCAGGCGTAGCCAGTGGGGGCTGTACACCTCCAGACCTGTGAAGGATGCCCAGGCAGACAGGACGAGACACGCCACCGTGAGCCATGGACTGGGGGGGGGGGTGATCTGGGCTGTATTTCTGCCAAGTTAAATAACGATTCAAATAAGCGTTCAGAGGGCAGAACAACAAACTATAACACATACGGGGTAAAATACTACAGAAACATACTACATATAAAATAACACACACAACCACACTATGGAAGGATTTCTATTTCACACAAATCCACATTTTTCACAACATCAACCATACGATCAACCGTACGATAAAATAAGCACTTATGAAACAACTGGGGTGGCACCCATGTATAAGTGAACTGTGGGGCTTGGAAACTAAAGGCACTTTAAAAAAACACATTACCTGTTACATCTGACTGAATCGTTATTGAATTTCCATTAGTGAATTGTTAGTGAATTGCTGTTGCTGGATTGTTGCTGAGTTGCCGTTAAACTGTGCCTGAATAATGATTCTGCGCCGGCATTTAAAGCCACGTTTCGCTACTGTTCTCCATACGAGCTGCCTTTACGCGCTCAGATTTATACAGCTGACCTCATTTCAGCAGCTCGTCATTTTATCAGAAATGTTATAAAGAGGGATTGCTGTCTCACAAAATCACCATCAGTCAGTGTGATTAATCTTGGCTCCACGTGTGGACAGAGGCTGGGCTCGATCGTGTTTCGGGGCATAGATCTTCTCCTGTGATATTTCTAACCTTTGGTAAACTCCTGAATAAAATATCATAAAAACAGGTAGGTGATGTGCTAATTAATAAATTAATTTTTCACATTTCACATTTCTCAAAAGCACTGTTAATGTTACTGTTAATCATGCCGTTATCCACTTTATTATGAAATGGCGGGAACCTTCAGTATTATATAATATGTCGATAGTCAGTTCGTACTGCTATAAATTTCGTTTTAAAATGCCACAGAGACATATTCTTACCGATTAAGTTTTACCTCACCGCCTAAAAAAATGTCCGAGGACACAATTCATCTACTGACTGTGCACTATGACTCAGTTGAAAAAAGAGCTTAACAAAATGTCAAATAAGGACTGAGACTAGAACATTCAGCAGCCAAGACGCCAAAGCATGCTTAGCCACCCTACGCCGACGGTTGCGACAGAGGCAGTCTTAATGGTACGGATGCGGTTTTTAAGTGGCAAAGAAACCCGAGTTCCCGGAGGAATGAGTCTCTCCAAAAGTTATTCCAGATGTCCTTGAGCCGATCAATTAAGCTAGTTAAAAACATAAGATCACGACGGCAGCTTCACCAAGGAGGCCTTCGGCGGTTCTTTAAGACCGCCTTCTCGCGTCGACTGCGCGAGAGCAAACAGAAGACAATATTAACCTCTCACCACTCTTGGTGATGAGTTGATGCTACAATAAACAACCACCCGCTGGGCCTGCATCCTTTTGACGGGGTGGGAAACAGCCGCGCGAGGCCTTCCACGTCGCTGGGCTCATTTGTTCATAATTTGTACTTAGAGGCTAGAGCCTCAGACGCTCGCCGGGAATGGCGCCTTTCAAAGGGCATTCTTGACGGGAAGGAGCCTTTCTCCTTGAAGATCTTGAAAGCAGTTTACTGTCAAGGAATGGAGGGGAAGAGATGGAAAAGAATCCAAAATCACAGCAGGGGCCGCTACGAAGCTGAGCTTAGATATCCTGAAGGAAATTGAAATCTCTAGGTTTGAATATAAAGTCAGGAACTAAGGGGGGAGGAGGTACTGTGCTGTGTCTGTATATGGGCCCTTATCATCTCGGAGCCAGTGGTGAACATGCCGTTTCTTTGGCTGGATGAGAAGTGACAGCAAGTCCATGGTGCCCCTGGTGAAAAATCTCCTATGGCATGGTGTGGTGAACATCTTTGAGGCTCCAACGTTAACTCACATGCATTTGCTTCCGAATTCTTGCTGAATTAAATGTGCATGTATGTATGTGTAGGGGGGATATGTGGATATGTGATGTAATAATGAAGACTGCCCACACTCTGCTCTAAATACTGCACTTAACAATTGCATTAACTAGATGCAAAAACTGCATTCCCAGAAAATCATGATAGCAGAAAACATGTTCTGTGATTTCAGCTTATTTATGCAACTTCACCTGTTGACTGAATACAGGGAGAGAACTGGATCATGATAAATGGCTTAAGGATTATATTGGCCAGAATTACCTGGAGATGCGTTATGAGAAATTACATCCAAGTGCATAGATGGCCACTGACCATTGTCAGAATATCTATATTTTTTTAATATATGCAGGGAGTGATGCCCTGTTTCCCCCATTGATTTTCTGCTGTAGCTGTAAGATTTCAATTGATCTGACTTCTTTTCCTCCTCGACAAAACAAATATATGAGTGTTTAAAGAGCTCTGGGCTATCAGTGAAGTCATCACAAAAAAAAAAAAAAAAGAATTTCTCTCTCATTCAAAAATAAAGAAAAATTATGGGAGAACTCAAGCCAACTCAACAGCAATATATGTATAACAAATAAATCCATTCATCAAGTCATGTCCTCCATAGTGGTTTATCCAGCTGAGGTGGGTCTGGAGCCTCTCCCGGAAAGGAGAGCACACCAGGCAGGGGAGATCCACTGATAAATTTATATTAATATTTACAATGTTTTCTACAGAAAATTGCACAAAATATCCACATTTAACATAGCTAAATAAACCGAAAACATCTCATCTCAACTACCCAAGCTTTTTCTAAGTGATGCTGGTGGTAGTAGAATTGTGGATTGATCAGACCAGACCACTTTTTCCATGACCACAGATTCTAGCTCAGTCCCTAGACACTGCCAGGCCAGTTGCGAGATATAACCTCTCCAGTGTCTCTTGGGTCCTCCACAAGGCCTCAGCAGGACATGCCCAGTTGACTGGCCGGTATCTGCATAAGATTCCTGAACCAGCTCAGCTGACTTCTCTCAATCTGAAGGAGCAGCAGCTCTATCCTGAGATCCCTCCAGATCTTTCTGTGATGGAGAGCGAGTCCAGCAATCCTGCGGAGAAACCTCATCCCAGCTGCTTGTCCTTCGGTCATTAACCATGACCATAAGTGAGGAATGTGACGTAGACTAACCAATAAAACAAGAACTTTATCTTTCTTGTTTCACCCTCATGGACCTTCTAAGTACCCACAAAACGGCAGCCACTGAACCGATCTGACTACAAATCTCACATTTCCGTAAAGCAGGGTTCGCCAGTTTGGGTCCTGGAGGGTCAGCCCACAACACAGTTTGCAGATTTCCCTGCTTAAACACACCTTATTCAGCTGACAAAATAAGTGCCACTTGGAGTGACAGCTCACCACCCGTCAGATGAGAGGTGGGGGTCAACAGCAGGACCATCTATGCAGATGAAGAGAACGGACCCAGACTAACTAGACTTTGGCAAAGGAGAAAAACTAAACAAGAATAGTATAAAAAGTAAACAATGCACAAGCCCAAATTCTCATTCGGCAAAGTGCTACTATCTTTGTGCATATTTATTTATAGTATTTTCACTTTTATTACTGCAGAGGGTAAAGGTTTTTCTGTCCTGTAATCAAAGTAAAGGGTAACAGGCTAAACACTTGGCTGATTAAGCACATGTGATTGTTTGTGACTCTTTCCCGCATTTCTGAAGCCAGTGGGAACCAAATTAAAGCAGCACATAAAAGTCAATCTGGAGCGTGCATGAACGGTTGATAAAGGCAGAGAGGACGGCTATCTGCGCGCCCCAGCTGCACCCCGCACGCTGACGGTGGGGCGCACTCCGCTCCCAGCCGCGTTCTCCGGGAGGGGGCCATCCTGAGGGAGGTGTGCCTGGGAATCCCGTCGGCACGGCCCGTCCAATATCATAACGCACGTTCGGCAGATAGGACAACCCACATCTAATGAACAGCCTGCTGTTTGGCCGCCTGAGGAAATCAGAGAGAATATACAGTGGAGACTGGGGGCAAAGCAGGCACACATTCCAGCATCTGCAGACTGTAAGGCTTTATACCTGGTTAAATTTAACAAAGAACCCCTGGCGACAGGAAGTTTTGTTTTTACACTGTGTGAAATATGCTTTTGGCAAAGTGTGCAAAGTGAAAATCCCCATAACTAGGCCTGGCTCCACACTGGGGGATCATGAAGGGCCGGCTCACCCAGTCACAAGCTTGGCCCACTCTAACACTGGGAAACCGCCAACCAATCACAGATATTTTTTACTACTGTAAATAGGAAGGGAGCAAGCCAATTTAAGACTTTTTCAACTCACAAAGCACTCCCCCCTGCTTCTACAGAGAACACTGTGGCCCAGCCTATATCATAGTTACTGCCACAAAGGTTTTTTTTTTTTTTGAGTGACCCATAAAAACGATGCATTTAAATCCTTCAGACCGTTATTGAGATGTCTGACGATGTCGGCAGATGATTGATATGCAGTCCTGAGCAGGCTACCTCCAGGCTGAAACAATGCAGCCTGTGGGAACTGGGCCATTTCCAGTGATGTTACAACAGACCAGCATGGCATTGTGCTTTATACTAAAACACCTGCTTCCTCTATTCATGGCCTGCTGCTCTTTAAGAAATCCAATCAGGGAGCATGACTCTCTACCTGATCTGGACAGGGAACCATATTATATAGTTTTCCCTAAAATTACCCCAACCACAATTCATATGACATACAGCGTATGATGCTATTTCTCTTGTTTCTGCTGCATTGTTTCCTTAAAAAAAATCACCAACGATTCATCGTGACATATTTCCAATTTCACAGCATCTAACATTAAAGTCACTGATAAGTGTGCAGACTCTCTTTACACTCTTATAATACTTACTGTGCCGAAAATTCACACTGCTTTACATTAAGTTATGTCTACAACAGTTTAATATAACATAGAGTTTCACAGAATTTTTGTTGTCCAGCAGCATTATAAAAATAAATCCCCTCCCCAAAAAAGTAAATAAAAAAGCAAATAACCAAGAGCAGATCGTACACATTAGACAGACACACAGGAGAAGGCAGACAGCCTGCAGTATTGGTCAGACGGGCCGCAGAGACAACAGCCTTGGGTCTGCAGCAGCCCAGCCTGACAGACAGGCAAACACTCCCCCAGGGGTCCCCCACGTGTGACTATGCCGAGGAGGAGGAGGAGGAGGAGGAGGCGCCCACCTGTGATGTTGAACTCAGTGCTGTCGCCCCGGTAGATGAGGGAGCCGTCCTTATACAGCAGGTATTCCGTGATGATCCCATTGGCCTTTTGAGGAGGGTCCCAGGACAGCCACAGAGAGGTGGGGTACACAACAGCCTTGGGGGGCATGACACCTTCGGGAGCTGGGACAGGAAAACAGCAGCAATCAGAACCGCGGGCAGAGAGGAGCAGTCGTGGTCATGCAGTTCCGGAACAGGGTAGATGGGGGCAGTGAGGAGCTGTGACTTCGAAGCTTGCGGACGGTTTAGGAACGTCTCTGCTTACCAAGGCAACTGGAAATCACTGTTCTTTGCTTTAACAATACTTTTAAAAGGAAGTTATAGCACTAGAAAAACAATACAACTGATTGGCCTATTCCAGGAAGCACGAGGCATGAGGCGGGGGGGGAAACCCCTGGCTGGGATCCCGGTCCACGCCAGGTACACGCACACACACGGCTTATAGAAGAGGACAATGCCATTCCAGTGTACAGCTTTGCCCTGGAGCACGAGCCCAAACTTCACGCTGCACTTTGGTCAATAAGCTTCTACAATAACATGCGATGCCAGATAAGGATGTCTGCCTCTGACCTACGACGCCAAGAGGTCTTTCCTGAACCTCAAAAATACCATCTACATGGACTGCTCTACATGGACTGCCCTACATGGACTGCTCGGGAGTGGTCAAATAGCAAAGTGGGTAGGATCATCCAGAGAAGCGCAATTTAAGGTGGATGCACAAAACGGTAGACTGTGGTGCTGTGTATGGGGCAGCTGGTACTCTGGGCAACACGTCAAAAGCAACCTCGCTCACGGCTGCAGTTTGTGGCCGACTGGGTTAGGTGGCTGTGCCTGTGATCGGTTCGAATCCCAGGGTTGGTGGAGTGATGTCACCAATGTTCCCCTGAGCAAGACCCTTAACCCCCAGCTTCTCCAGGGATTTGCTGACCCTGCATTCTCAAAAAAGGTACCGTATACTGTTTTAGATAATAGAGCCCACTAAATAAATTAAATATCTCGCGAGAGTAATTTCAGAAAAGTGGCGATGAGGGCTGATCAAGGGGCCTGTAAGGGACAGAAAAGTGGCGATGAGGGCTG